AGAACTGACCTGTACACACAATATAGCAATGTTTAAGGCAAAAAATTACAGCATGAGTCGACACATACTAACATGAGTCAACTCATTTTAGTGACAGAATAGAGTATGAGTCGACACAAGACCTTATGCGTCGATACATACTGCTATCCAGACCCAAAATAGAAAGACAAAAGATGCATGAGTCGACACAAAACACGAATATATCGACACAAACGAGAAATGAGTCGACACATATCACTATGTATCAACTCATACTGGGTTGATTTTGGTTTTACAGGAACAAGAAGGGTTATATGTTGATGCAAAGATGCATGTGTCGACACATAATGGTTAAAAAATATTTTTTTCCTTTCTTTTACACTATTTTTATATTTTCTATATATTTTTTCATTGCTATTCAATATGGTTGTAATAATTAAGCTTATTTCATCTTCATTTGTAAATTGTACCCCGTCTTCCAAGTGATGTAATAGCTTAGAATTTTAATTTCCGCAATTTATCGTTTTAATATAATTGTTAGTAATTAGGGTGTGTATGATAAGATAAAATCAACGGTTAGAAAACTCTAATATCAAAGACAAAAATGCATGCAATCAAACACACTTTTCACACGCGTACCTCTAGGATAACCTAGCTTGTTGTCTTGAAAAATAGTCATGTCCCTCAAATATGGGACGCTTTAGCAAAGACCCTCGATAAAAAAATTGTAGTCCCTCGATGACCCTTCGATGTTGCCTTCGGTAAAACGATTTTAATTCGTATAAAAATTGCTAAAGTGTCTCATAAGTTGCCTTCTATAACTATACGACAATCCACGCTCGTCCTTTCACATCTAAAGATATGGCTTCTTATCAATCAATGATAATATCTAAAGGAGGAGGAAAAGAATAAAGATACTTTTGAGTAGGTAGGACGCTCGTAGTTACTTGCTCACAAATTAAAACTATCTTTACACTAACACTTTCAAAACATCTTTAAAACAAACATCTCTTTGAACTTTTTTCAAAACCAACACTTTGTATACATTCTTATAGATACGGGAATCATTATAAATTTTCTGAAACAAATACGTTTTCGAAATATTTTCAAACTTACATCAATCACAAACACATTTCAAACAAAACATTTTCAAAGTGATCAAACAACTAAGAGTCCATAGATAACTACAGATGAAAAGGGTGCTAACACCTTTCTTTTTTATAATCTACCCCCCGAACTCAAGAAAATATCTCAAAAGGTCTTTCTTGTTCTTTTCACCTTTTCCTTTATTAGATAAAAGAAAAATCGGTGACGACTCTTGCTATCAGCAACAATTACGATAAAATAAAAAAATATCCAAGTCAGTTCTTCCACGGTATTACATCCCCGTTTGGTGATTTTCTTGACTTTAGTTGAAGATAGATCCCTTTCACCGTTATGGTGATCAGAAGAATCGATAGGACGTTCTGGAGACATTCTCTTCACATTATCTTTTAGAGTAGCAGGATCAGAAACATGAGGAGATGTATGCAATGTTTTGGAAATTAGATGGTGTCCAAGGTTGGCAATTTGTGTAGAATAGAAAATAGAATAGATGGGATAAAGAAGTACCGCAACCGAATTGAGTAATTCACATTTAATGTCCTCACCAACACTCTCCAAGATCTATTACAGAGGGGTTGTTTTCATTCAAAGTTTGTGATGAATGAGCAAGAACTCATAAGAAACAATTAACATATGGAAGGAGAAAAAATCATAACACAAGGAACTCAAAAAAATCAAACGAACCTGCATGAAAATTGAGGTATCTTGCTTGAGGGGGCTTTATTGTCATTCCATACCAACATTAGTAATAAAGCGGAGTGATGGGAATCAAAGAGAAAAAACACAAAAAAGTTGATTGATATAAACAAACCTCTGTTGTAACTGAGTTGTCTAGAATGACAGGGGAATTTTGGGAGGAGATTACAACATTAGTTCCTAACAGACAATGTTGAACATTACATGTCGTTGTCATAAAAGAAGAAGAATATGAATACCTGAGTTATTGCTCGAGGTCCTTCAAACATAGTGATGAGCTGATTATCCTTAATAAATTGTACTATTTAGGAGATTTTCCATTTCGGGTCCCACTTGACCTTAAACGTAAACTTTTTGCCCAACATTGCATCTAGGGCAAGTGGAAACTCTAATGGGTCTGTTATTCCAGCCTGAATTTCAATTAGTAACCAAGGTGGTAATAAGTTAGAGTTGGTATAATATTAAGGTAAACAACAAATGAATAGAAACAAATCAACCAGTTTTCACAAACCTTTGTCATGGTTGCTCGCATTTGTGCGACAGTAGTATCCAATAGCCCGGCCGCCTCCCGATCTCAGAAAACAAATTTTGCAGTGTTCCCTTCATGAACTACTTCAATGAAAATCTTAAACCTACATCACAGCCGCAAAATAAAGTTCAACAATATAACGATTCAAAAAAAAATTATTAAAGTACCAATAAAGGTAAAGCCCTACCTCCAAATTTCCGCTTCTATACGGTGTCCAGCCCTGCAGAAAAAAAAGAGGTCTCTCGCCCTTAGCAACCTGAAGACATTGGTGGCATGCAGTGTAGCACCATCCATGCTTCGATGCTAATAGTTTATTTGTTGTAGCAACAGTTACACATAACGTAAGTTGCACGTAATTGACAAAAACAGTCGTGTTATGCAGTCAACGGTTCAAAGAAAGATTTTGAAAGAAATTATAAGGAATGTAAACTACCTCTGCTAATTGGCTAATTTCATGAAGTTTAATATGAATAGATTTATCTAAAAACTTCTCCCTGATAGACATTTGAGAGCTGGAAGTTTTTTGTGATCACCCTCGACTGTTGGAATTTGTGGTTGTCAATGACTTTCCAGTGCTAGAATCCTTTGACAACTTGTACGTGTACAGTTTTAGAACATGTCAAATGCAACAAATGACCAATTAATTAGGACAGTATCAACAATTAGATTTCATACAGTGGGTTGTTTACCTTTTTAAAAATTCATTTATGTCGGTTATGTCTTCGTTAATTTGGAGTTTTGTAACGCTGTAGGAGTCACTGCAATTAGAATTTTTCCTACAATATGCATATATAAATTTAAAGATGCATACAAAAGCAAGGGAATAAGTTGGGTTAATACAAGGATAAAATTAAAAATGGTAGGTCATAGAGAACCTTGTTCCTTCACCTTAGCATATCTGAGAATCATAACTGTTGGTTTGGTGGTATCAACATGTTTTTGCTGGTACTCTAAGAACTGCATTGCATAGATTTCCCATAAAGTGCAATTTAAAGTGTTGTCATTATCCAGTCAAAGTTGGTAATTAGTAATTGTAAAAAAATATACTCAGACCAAATTACTTAGGAAATATAGAGAGATCAAATCAGGTTGGTATGAGACATACCCCAAATCGCACAACACCAAATTAACCTGAGATTTTTTCCCTCCTGCGTGCGACTGTGTGTAGCTTACCTCGTCAACGACACCAATAAATCTATAGAAAATAATAACATCAGTGGAATATACATAAACATTCATAACAAAAATCAAAAATAGGTTGATGAGGGATTAACGACAATGCCACAAAAAACATTCCTTTGCCATTTCCCAGATATTACATCAGCAAAAGGGGTTAAACTGCTAGGCTTGTTGTCGATTCCGTGTTTGCTAATATCTCTTACAGTTGTACCACCCGTGAATTTCAAGATAAAGTTGTGATTTATTGGTTTAAACATCAAATCATTGGGCTAAATTTGAAGACATAATTGAATTAAAATTTTACTTGAAGATAGTTGGAACAATTACATGTATGTCATGACCTTGAAGATTTGACATCATTTTAAAACCATTAGAACAGAGCATCCAACTACAATCTTATTAGAAGGTAAAACTTAAACATCAAGCGCAAATCACAACAAAACACAAGAAACGTTGTGGACAGCGATAGATAATTGAAAATCATACGGTTAAACGATGGAACATAAATCAGCAATTTCATGATAAAATCGGCACGTCGATGTAAATATTTGTAAATATATACATTAACAACAATATGTTGAAAAGCTTTGTTCCAACATCTCTAACTCACCTGTTTGTCGTAGACAACCATCTCAAAACAATCCTTCGAGACCATCTTCACCTTCCATTTGTGAGGAATCTAAACAACAATCTTCCACAACTCCTTGCGGTCGTTTATGTCGCTGATCATCTCACAAGATCTCGCCATTCAAGATTAGGTTGTGAGAAGAAAACGTTTTGTCACAAGCAGAAAGTAGCTTGGGGATCAATAGATGCAGGTGGAAGTCACGTTAATGTATACATCTATTAGGCATGATTGGAAAGAGTTGTGAGAAGCATTCACTTGAAGCATGTACCGTTTTTGCATAGGTGTCAAGAGGGGGGGGATAAGTGGTATTAAAGGGTTAACCACAACCTAAGATTTTCTTATATGATAGATTAGAATTATAATAGGCTTTTTTTTGTAAGCAAGCTAAAATTTTGTATTCCTGTCCAATAAATAAATATTCCACATTTTCCACTCTAATAGAATAACACAGACAGCACAATTATCCTTTGGACACTTGAACAGGAGCCGAGAGATTTGAAAAGTATTGAATAGTATGGAAAAAATCATTTTAAAATAAGAACATTGGTTTATAAAAAAATACTTTTTTTAAAAGTTACAAGGCAGATAGGAATGCAAGGTATGTTCAAAAAGTATGCAACGGATTTATCTAGAAACAAGAAAGTATTCCAATAAAGACAAGGCTAAAAGAATAAGCAAACAATAAATTATGAAGGCAACCCAGTTTATTGTTGCCACTTATTAGAAAATGGTCAAAGTTTATAGCAGTAAAAAATTGTGGTCCATATAAGGTTTCATCAAAGCTGTCTAAGATTTCTTCTTCAACGAAAACATACTACCACAATACTAATACATTTCAACATCCAATTCCAATCAAAATATAGCTTCATGCAGTACTTAATACACTTATGGAAGGGTTCGTTGATATAGGGGCAAACCTCCCAATGATTCCCGCTCTGTCCGTTCCCTCTTCACCTGAAAAATGAGGGATAGAAAGCGTTTAGGATCACTTCTAGCAGTTATTGGATTGTTGATTTTCCAAAATTAGATACTTTTTGCAAAGACAGATTGATTTTATAATACTTTAAACTAAAGCAATGTTCTTTGGCATATTGCTCCCACACTTAGTTAGGATTATGATGAAACTGGAAGAAAATGCAGAAAGACAATGAGGTGATTTTATAAAGAGAGTTTAATTTTTCTCTTCTCATTTAGTTGAATAGAAAATGAGAGAATGTGTGTATCGATAGAAGTGTCAGTGGAGGTGTGAGTGTCAGTCATCGATAGAGGAAGGCAAAATAACCCATGAGCACAGCATAGGGACCAATGGTGCGGCCATGATTGATATCCCAACACAAATTGCATATGGTGACTGTCAAAAATCTGCCACATCATTCCCACATGGGGGCACCATGGCCGCCATTTAACAATGCCGGAGAGTGTTTAATTTTGAAGCAATGACTAAAGGTTTTCAACTGGGAGTAGTTCTCTATAGGCTCTCAAACTAAAAACATAGAAAAAAAGCACAGATAACTGGGAGTGGCTCTCTATGGTTCTCTAACGGTTTTTGGGTCACTTATCATGTTTAATCCCATGTATATGTACATGTATGGGGCTGATATAAAGAAACCATGTTAACTCCCATCTACATGTGCAAGGCTCGTTGAATTACCAGTATATTGCCATGTTTTTTCATTTGATTTCTATTTACAAGGTTTTGTATAGGATATAATAAAAAACAAATTCTTATTGTAGTTTCTGTAATATTTGAAAATAAGGGACAAACTGAAAATAAGGCAACATTTATATGAATAAAAAGGTGGAAACGAGCAATAAAAATAAAGAATGAGAACAGAACAGAACACTGTTAGCTAGAAAATAACTTCTAATACTCCATTAATTCCAGCAAGTATGAACTAACAAAAGGAACAAGGAAAATGAATTGAAACATAAAAGATTTCATGTTTTTAAATATATAGAAAACAAAGAAAATCCACAATTATGCAACCATATTGGTTGAAATGATTGAGTTTCATTCACATCAAGAGTTGTTGGCAATTTAAACAACACATTTAAGAAAATTGTAAGTATATTAGGGTAAAAGACAATCGAGACAGGAAAAGGAACTCACCCCAATTACCATTGTCAAGTTCAATCGCCAGAAAAGTTTAATAGGAAAAAAAAGGACAACCAAGTATGGAATCAACCTCCCCATGAGATGTTATAGTAAACTACCCCCGCAAACCCACAATCACAAAATTAGTTACTTTATAACAAAAACACTTACAAAGGTCAGCATCTCCTGAAGGTAGCTCCTGAATGGTGTTTGCATTGCCTGTAAAAAAAATGAAACAGAGTGCTCAAAATTTAACATTTATGTTCAGAGTAGTCAGAAACATGCTCTCACACAAGCACATAACAAGCAAGAGAGTTAGATTTTCTTCGACATGTCCACAAAGTCAATACACAAATATCAAATCAAAGTATATTCACAGAAGAAAAAAAAACGGCACATCACTACAATGGACATTTAGCAAAATTTCAATTGGAACGTCCCATAAAGGTTATGTTCAGATGCCCATAGATTGTAGAATGAAATAGAATAAAAATGTAATTCATTATTTGGATGATTTACAGTAAAATGAAACGAAATGCAACAAAAAAATAAACACATATAGTATTACACCTCAACATTAGGGAAAGTAAACTCCAGAGTTTTCGATGAAATACATAACCGTGGTTTAAAATGAAAAATCCATGCCACTACAACCGAGACAGCACAGCACAACAACTATTCAACACAATTTAAAATCTTCAATATAAAATGAGATCCCAAATTAAACAATCTAAACAATAAATTTAACTTGCTATTCAATTCAACTGCACTATATTTCATCTTATTCTATCAATACAAACACATCCACAAGGATTTTCAATAAATTTATCAAAATTAACACAATCAATCCAGCTCTAACATTCTCGTAACTAAAATTTACAACAGCAACCAAAAAAAAAACAAAAACAAAAAAACAATAATATAAATCAATAAAAAAAAAAACCTAACGAACCTGAAGATTCTCAGGGAGATACTCGTGCTTCATGGAAAGGTCAATAGCGCGCTTGAGACGCGCATGGCGAGCATCAACAACCTCCTTCGGAAGCCGATTCAGAGCCTCCTTGATATCAACATCGTAATATGGATCGTACAGATCGTCGTATCGGAGACCTAATTTCACAAAAACAACACAATTTCACGAATCTGAGGAACAAAAATTTGTTCGAAGATTAAACTAGGGTTTGAGAAACGAAAGAAATGAAAGGAAGATTGGGATTATCTAACCGTATTTGCGAAGGCGTTTGGAAACGGCTTTCATGTGCTGAGCGGCGAACCAGTTTTTCTTTGGATCTACAATCGCTTGTAGCAACGACGCCATTGTTGAGCTTTGTTCTCTCTCACTCGCTTTTTTTCGTTGCAGTTTGTTTGATTCTGGAATAATCGAGGAGGAAAAGACTTAATTAGGTGTCGTTTTATTTTGAGTTTCGCCCTAAAAGTTCTCTATAGATTTTACTCGCGTTGCTTACCATTTCCCTTAAACGACGCGTCGTTTAATCTAGTTAGTGAGATTTTTCTTTTTTTTTACTTAATACATGGTTTACTTTTCTTAACTTAATTTAACTTTTTTAATTAAAAATAGAAAAAAAATATGCAACACATTATAAAATAAATATATCTGTAAAATTGATTTGTAGTGTGTGTCAACTACCTTTAAACTCTTATAAAATTTAAATTAGTTCTTTAAAAAATTTGTTTGTTAGTTTGATCTTTTCTATCAAATTTTAAAGAAAAACATTAAATTTTACATATGTGACATTCTAATTGTCATTATTTAATCTATGTTTATTTGACTTGATTTTTTATCTATTTAATCATTTATGTTTTAGTTATTAATCATTCATATCTCTCTCCCTTTCTCAAAATCAAAATCTTAGTCGTCACATCGGTTCTTCTCTTTCTTCCTTTCTCTTCATTGTCTCTTTTTCTTCTTTCTTTCCCTTAACTGAAACCATAAGTTTATGTTTGGGAGTTTAGAGGGGAATGGAGGGGAGGGTTTTGAAAAATATGAAGAATTTTGTGAAAATAATAAAAAGATTTTTCTTCGAAGGGTTTTAGAGGATTTGTGTTTCTTCATAACACCAAAAACTCTATAATTTGAAGAACTCGAAATTTGTATTGGATGAGGGTTTTGGAGGACTTAACCATTTTGTTCAAATATAATTTTTGTTGTTATAGTATTTCAAAAACTAAAAATAGATTAATGATAAACATTATTTTATCATTCTAAACAAAATCGTTTTTTCAAAAAATGTTCAAAATTTCTTTATATTTTTTAAAAAAAATATTTCTGGAAGCACTCATTTCCCCTCCCCTCTAAACTCCCAAACATAGCCTAACACAACCATAACTTTTTTGGCCTTTCTCCATTTTTTTGTTTCTGATTTTTCCTTTCAAGGTATTGTTGTATGTGCTTCAAAGAAATGAAAAAGTTGCTCAAATGAAGAATAAGGAATATGATGTTTCATAGAGAAATATGAAGAAGAAGAAGAAGAAGAAGAAGAAGTCTGATTCGAGATATGTTTGATTCGAGATATGTTTGATTCGAGATCTGATTTGAGATGTTGTTATCGCTGTTTTCACAACCATACCTCTTCTTTTGCATAAGTCGCTTAATTTTCTTCTTGATTTTTCATACTTATTTGCTCGATTCTGAATTTTTAATTGATAGTTTATTTTTTGTTTCTGTAGTGAGGTTTTTGAATCGCACCAAGTTTAACACCATTGTGTTGACGGGACTCAGTGGTAGTGGGAAATTGATATCTTCATTATATACTTAATTTTGTGTTTTTATACTCATTTTAGTTGAATGGGTGTAAAGTTGTTTCGAGTTCACTTTCATTATATGTTTAATTTTATCGTCATTTGTGAAATTAAAATTGTCTAAATGAACTGAAATTGTGCTATGTACCGTGAGTGGAAATACAATGCTGGATAATCCTTTGTATTTTATAAGGTGATTTTGTAATGTATGGTGTTATGTATCGTGAGTGAAAATACTATGTACCTGAATATTATAATGGTGGGGTTGTAAGGTGATTTTGTAAGAATCCTTCGTGATTTTGTAATTTGTAATATTATGTTGATACTATGCAATGTTCAACACCATCCTTATTCAAATTATTAAAAAATAACATTGATATTAATTAATCAATTTTGTTGAATCATTATTAAGCAATAAAATATGTTTCTCACTAGAAGAGTTGTTATATTTTTTTACACAATATTAATTATTTGCGGGGGTTTTTAATCCCCCCTATAGTTTAAATAATATATCAATTTTTTAATACACATGTTGAGTCTTAAATGTACCTTGAGCCTTGTTGTAAAGCCACATCAGCAGAACCTAACAGTTTTTGACAAAAATTGTTAGAAAAGACTAAATCCGCTAACAAAAGTGTTATTAAGGGACTAAAGTGTAATATTTTTTAATTAAGGGATTGAAGTGGAACATTAAATTAAGTCAAGTGACTTGGTGACTAATTAAGCCTTTATTTTTTTCAGGGGTTTTACTTTATCCACCCCTTGGGGTGCTAGTTCACAACGGTGAAAAGTCACAAATATTCTTAAATTTTGGAGATATATTTTTGGATGTACTAAAATTACACACATCAACGCTTTCGTGAGTGAGTCACCTCATGTTATCCAAAAATGTATCCAAAAATACATCTTTGTAACAATAGTATGATTAATTTAAAGGTTTATCTTTGTGATGATCCTTAATTCAAAACTCAAATAAGTTTATGGAGGTGCATTTCGAGAATGCACTTTGTAAACTTAAACCAGAAACCAGTAATGGATGGATGCAAAAAATTAAAGAAAAACATAAATTAATATCAAAATGTGTAACATAACATAGATAATCATAACATAGATACATACACATAACATAGATGTAACATAAATTTAACATTATGTTTTAGCAGGATGTTGCAACATCTTCATAATATCTTTGATCGATTCACAATCTTTGCATCCAGCTCGATTGAAATAAGACCTTTTATTTTGTAACAAGTTTGGTAGCCTACCTGTGAATTCATTGGAGCATATGTCACGCTAAAAAAACGTCTATTTAATTGTAAATTATTCACGAACATCTACATGAGCAACAACTGGTCTAGCATCCACCTCAATATCAACTAGTTTAACATTATCTTCGATTTCACATGATTTAACATCATTCTTAATATCAAATTGTTTAAAATTATTAAACACAATAGCTTTAGAAAAGTATTAGGGTGCACCATATCTTTAGTCAAGCATAACATAAAAACAAATTTATCAAAGAAAATCGAAAATATTTGAATACACATTTCTGAAACATATTCAACCTAAATCGGAGATAAATATCCCCACTCAACGCTCATTTCAACAAACAAAAACTAGAGTAATGCAAGGAATATAGAAGGAAAAAACATGTTATTTATCGTAAAGTGTAGCTTCTTTTGATGTGATAAAACACAATAATATTGTTTGGAAGTGAAAAAATTGATTGAGAATGGATGGAGGTTTTTTAAGGACTTTGATAGAATAATTGTCTCTGATCAGGATGAAGAATGTGAGTTGGTGTTGTTTTATTTATTTTCCTGCTTGACATTTCTAGAGATGTATCTCTAGAATTTTCATTGATTTGATTAAGAGAACCTCACTTGCCACACCCTTTGAAAACACCATATAATGGTGATTTCAGAGATGCATCTCTAAAACATTTTTTGGTTAAACATGGTGTGGTTCACTTGTCACACTCTTTATGTAAGTATTAAGTGCGTTTGAAGATGCATCTCCAGAATATGAAAAAGAAAGTTTAAGTTCTAATTTGTTCACTCTCACCCCATGGGGTGGATAAAGTAATACTCATTTTTTAGGCTAATGAAATTATTTTTTTGAGAAAAAAAAAACGATATGTGAAAAATATAATTTTAATGTGAAATACGAAAATGGTAGCATGTTAATTAAAGCGTTGTACATGAGACTTCACACATAAGAGGTGGGTGAATTGTGTGGTTTGGAAAATTTTGGTTGTGAAAATTTCATCATATTTAAAAACATAGTTTGAAAAACTTAGGCAGCGGAAAGTAAATAGCAGAAAACAAATTGCCTAATTTAAAGAGTATAAAGGAAGAAGAAGAACACCAAAAAGTATAGAGGTTCTGCCAAATCAAAATAACCTATTCCTCTCCTCAAGAATTGATCTTGAGAGTTTCTAATAATAGTTGAAAGTTTTTAGTAGGAAAGACTCACGAACCCCCTTATACAAGGAAGTGATGGTCGATCTTCAACTAAATAATACAAGATGATGGATGTGGGTATTTGCGCATTTTTTTCAATGTATTGTTGGAGTGAAGCGACCAATCTTCCTTCACAACGATGGATTAAAGAGATAAGTCTTCTTTCCATGAACACAGACCTTGGAGTGTTTAGTCTTCAAGTTCCAAAAATTTAAGCTCAATACTTTGGTTTTAACTGGGATAACAAAAAACCTGAGAGATTTAGTCGGGTTGATCTCGAACCTGTGAAGCTTTTAATACCTGGTTGAGCTTCAATCTATCTTAATTTTAACCGGGATAACCAATAACCTACGAAGATTTTAACACTGGTTAATCTTCAACCAAACCTAGGACTTATCCACCAATACAAAAAAATAAGCTTTTCATATAAATCCCTAAATGGACAGTATTCAACCAAGGTGTATACAAAATATTTTTTGGTGAATTTTACAATTTTACCCTTTCTAAAATTACATATATATCCTCACTCACAAATGAACTTTTCTCACAAAGACATTTGACTAAAATATTTAGTGAGAGAAAGTTAAATAAAACTCTATCTATCTCTCTCTCTCTCTGAGAGAGAGAGAGAGAGAGAGAGAGAGAGAGATAGAGAGAGAGAGAGAGTGAGAGATGAAAGTTTCAAAACATGATTCTGAGAGAGAGAGAGAGAGAGAGTGTGTGTGTGTGTGTGTGTGTGTGTGTGTGTGTGTGTGTGTGTGTGTGTGTGTGAGAGAGAGAGAGAGAGAGAGAGAGAGAGATGAAAGTGTCAAAACATAATTCTGAGAGAGAGAGAGTGTGTGTGTGTGTGTGTGTGTGTGTGTGTGTGTGTGTGTGTGTGTGTGTGTGTGTGTGTGTGTGTGTGTGTGTGTGTGTGTGTGTGTGTGTGTGTGTGTGTGTGTGTGTGAGATAAAGTGTCAAAACATGATTCTGGATGATTTGAAATTAGAAATGAGACCTCTATTTAATGAGACCTCTATTTATAGAGCATTTACCATTAGCTAATAAATTCGACCAAGTTGCTAATTAATTAGATGATGCAAATATACGATTG